AGACAACAGTCAACAGTTCCATCGATGAGCCTCTTCAAAGCTCCTAGTTTGAAGGTGGGCTGGACGCTTAAAGGCCTCGATAGACGATGAAATTCCCGAACAAATTCCGATCAAAGTGTCGGGAATCATCAGTCTTAAACTCATTAATTTGCTTAATTTTAAAATGAAAAGGCAGAAATGTTTCCTGTGGCAGGAATGATGAATGGTGGCACTCCGTTCTGATCTTACTTTGAACAAAAAAGTGCGGCCCGTCAAAATTTGATAGTAGATGGTGACCACCAGTCATCAGTCATCTACTTTGATCGGAATTTGATCGTCTATGCAGGGCTTAAGAAGGATACTTTTCTCAAACGTTTTCCTCAATTGTTTTGCATTATTTTCTACGTATAATCGCACATTTCTTGATTAATTTTCATTTTGAAACCAAAATTGTCATTTTTCTTCTATAGGTATAAGTGGTAATGTAACAAATATTCTAAAATTCTCGTATACATTTGGTAGTTTTGGGGTTTTGGACGAATAGAGTGCCTGTATAGCGAGAGTATAGACGGATGTGAAACTCCGAAAATCCATCAGGCCTTCACCAATGCCTCTAGCTCGGGGTTCGTGAGCGGAGGGGAGCAGAGGAGAGGAATCGGCCAAATCAGCTACGTTTATGCGAGGCTCGAAACCGAGGTTTCACGAAACCCGAGTTTGTAATGCAAGTTTTCGCCGTCGGGTTTATGCGGGCGCTGTAACCCGACTTTCGCGGGAAATCAAACTTTCCGATTCTGACGCTGTTTATGCGCATATTTTCGATTGAACTTGAATTTCATGCGTTGGCGCCATTTTCACAAGCTATACTTCATTTTTTCACTGTAAATTGATTCAATAAAATTATTATTACTCTTTTATCCCGTGTATGTTCCACAATTTTTCCGCAATATATAAGCGGAGGCTTCATCTTCACTAGAAAAGCCTTTACTGACTTTCTGAGCAACAGTTGGAAAAATGACAGTGGATTTTTAATCATTTTACGTTCATATTTAAAAATTGAATGAATACCTAAGTAATCTCAACAACCCTTTAAATCATGCTCGAGCTTATATTCTGAGTTCAGAAAAGTATTGCCATCATATGTAATTTTAGTGATGTTAAAAATAATTGTGGCTGGCGCAGAAATTCATCATGCTGTTTATTAAGCTTCTAATGATCTTACAATAGGTAGATATAGGCATTGAAAGTGTAGGAGTGCTAATCTACTAAGCACTGCACCTTTACTCCCTGGTGTCGTAAAGATTGTACCTATGTCTGCCATTATTGTAGTGAAACAAATAACTAATCGGGAATACTTATGGGAATTGCTCCTTCAAAATATGATCAAAATAAGCGGATATTGATAGGTCAACAATGTACCTATCGCTGAAGCAGAAGCGTCTAAATACTCTTGAGGCAACGGACGGTGACAATCTCAACAAACTGATGACGCTTCACAAATTTTAAGTTTCCACATTCCCAGAGACACGCGCTGAAATCCTGTTTCTCACCCCTCTTTCCGACTGCTCTCCGAGTCCATGAGCAAGACAGGACGAAAATAGGCAAGCTACCTACTACTGTTTGCCTACCTATGTGTATTTTTTTTTAACTTGATTTTCAAAGGTGTCTCATGTAAAGAGCAACTGACAAACAAGATTTCAGAACCTGCCATTGCATTTCATTAACCTAAGACACAAACCCAACCTTACCATTGATATTCTTTCGCTTACACTGTATATTGTTCTCCTATTGAGATTCGATATGAACTCAATTCAAAAATGCTTTCGAATTTAATTATTCAGGTAGATTGGAATATGGAGCTTTCAGTCTATCTGTAAAGCGCATTTACTAACATCCACTGCTGTCACAAGATATTTTTGCACAGGCAGAGCCACTTTCCACAGTTGATGCATCTCTAACGCCAAGGCTCAATTATGACAAGTGATTCAACGACCAAAAATTGTTACACGCCTCAATAAAAACCGTATTCTTATCTCGAATTGCAAATCTTGGATAACAGAGCACTCACCAAAAAATCTCCTTCCTTCTGCCTCAGTATAAAAGAGTGACGATACTTTGGAGCAATAACTTTGAACTAGTTTCAATAAATGATGGCCTCAGAATTTGAGTCATCATTTACAAGAGATTGGATCAAAGAAATACGTCAGCAGGTCACGGTTGTGGCTGGTCTCACACTTCCAGTAGGACAACCAGGAAACAGATACATGGATAACACACAAATTCAAGAGCTACACAGCTCTGATTGGATCAGATTTCAGATTTAATCGGTAGATTGGAATGAAAAAATTCGGTGCACTACTTAAAGGGAAGCAGGGTGCCTTATCTTGAAATCCTAGGCGAATCGTGTGGATACAGTAAAAAAGTTCTCCGCAGATGATGAACTGGTAGGTAAGGCTATTACTCAATTGTAGCCTGTAAAGCTCTTTGCTTGCTTTGCTTCTGTGGTCATGAAATGTTGATTAGAGTTGCAAGAATTATCTGAAAAAGCAGTAATAAGCCTGGATTCCATCTGACACTAAACACCTTCACTAGAAAATAACGTCCTACGTTTAGCTAAATAAGGATAAATAAGCCACATATAACTGAAGGAATCACGTAAAAGTGCTGAAGCAACAATTAAAGTAAAATTATTATTGTAAAAATGTTAAATAATGGCAAAATTAAAGCTAAATCGTGAGATAAGCACCAGTTGTTTACGAACGTTATGATAATAAATCCGCCATATTGCCGATCGCGCAGCTGAAAATCGCATTTGAAGTCGAATTTCAACTAATTTCAACCTCCGGTTCGTTTATGCGGAGTGCGAGAACCTAGTCTTTAGTGTAAAATAAGGTTTCAAACACAAATTTCGGAAACCTACATTTCGTTAGTTCCGTATCGTTTATGCCGTGTTTTGAACCTTGGTTTCAAACTCAGGTTTCGATTGAAGTTAGGTTAAGAGGCTCGCATAAACATAGCTATTGTCCTCGTCGAGCGTAAACCCTCGTCCTCGAGGTTTTAGGGAAATCTTTAACGACGCGCCAACGTCCCAATGAGAGATTGGTGCAATACCTCGTAGACGAGTTTCCTCGTGGCGGAGGAATAGACCCAATTCCTCGCCGCAAGATTTTGGCTCTCTCGAACGGGAGGCCAATCCCTCATTCTGGCCGGATTTCCCCAAGACTCACCCCGCCACCCCTCCGGCCTGCGTCAGACCCAAAGTTGGGCTCTTGTTATGCCTTCGCGCAGCCGCTAGTCTAGGTATGTGTCCAGGAATTTCCTAGATAAGTAGCTCCGGGCGCCGCTCGTCGATTTGAAGCAGCGCGAGGGTTTCATGTCCAGGAGCCAGAGGTGAATCCCTCATCTCGGAGGAGGATGTTTCTGTCTAAAAGGCGCGACATAGTATTCACCCTAAAGGGCCAGATACACCCACAGAACTGAGGGTGACCAACTGAACGTTGGCAACAACATACTAGCGCAATAATTCCCTAACCTCAATATTACGACCTCCATGATGCACATCTGGAATTACCCCGTAATGGAAATACCCCGACCGACCCTAGTTGACGGATTAGCATTATCAGCGGGCAATAATCTCAGTTTATCCTCCATCGGGATGCTAAACGTTTTAGTTGGGAAAATGTTAAATTTGAACGCTGCTGCTTCAATGAAATCAGTCTGATCAATATTAAGTACATTTTGGTTCCTATTAAGTGAAATACTGAAACTTAAATATTTTTTGACTTCATTTAAATCAGTATTGTCAAAGATTTTACAAGGTTGGTTCTTAAGATTAATAATTAAAGATACTCGACAACTGCCTAACAGCATATCATAAATATGAATCAATATGTAAATATAAACATCAATTATTTTTTAGTAATAGGTACAAGCAACAGTCATATGCGGATTGAGTAAACTTATTCTGGATACTGAAATTATGAATAAAATCAAACCAATCACGTGAACTTTCTCGAAGTCCGTACAGTGATTTGTTTGGTTTTAGCACTTTATTACCTGCGTTGAAACCTTTTGGGGGATGTATATAAACTTTCGATTTATTATCGATCTCTCACAGTCTTAAACTCATTAATTTGCTTAATTTTAAAATGAAAACTTGACAGAAATGTTTCCTGTGGCAGGAAATGATGAATGGTGGCACTCCATCCTGATCTTACTTAGAACAAAATAATGCGGCCCGTCAAAATTTGATGGTAGACCGTAGATGGTGACCATCAGTCATCAGTATGTCTACTTTGATCGGAATTGGTTCGGAATTTGATCGTCTATCCAGAGTAGAGTACCTATATTGAGAGAGTATGGCCACTAGGCCCCATGGAGAGGCTTGGGACCCAAAAATGGCGGTGCTTTATTTTGGTTTTTGTGGATGGGAGGGGAGTAATTGCCAACTTTTGACGGTTATCACCAACCGCACTTGCTGCCAACCTTACTACGTCTTAGATAATTTTGCTCAAAAATTGCACACGATTAGCCTTAAAAATATGTAAATAAGTCGCAATAGTGCATTTGGGTAAATTTCTCGTTACGATAAGCAAAGAAAACTACATTTTGAGTCACTTTTCATTACATTAATTTATGGCGTCCGCCATTTTTGGGTCCTAAGGGCTCCATTCAGCCTAAGATGGCTGAGCCAATCAGAGGTGGTAACACCAGTGGCCATACTCTCTCAATACAGGTACTCTAATCCAGAGCTAATCAGAGAGGCGTGTAAACAGCATCGATGAGCTCTGATGCTACCGTTGAGTGGCCTAAACGCGCTTTACCAGCGCTGACTAGACGCAGGTGTTATCTGGCCCTTAATTTCGGCTATTGACCTACCGACATGGTCATTAATGATGAGCTTCGGGTGACGTCATGAGCCAAACAAGTTTCACAAACTTCGGCCATTTTCGACTTGTTTGCAAAACGAAACTGCCAACACGTTGTTAAACATCAACCATGTAAGTCAACAGTAGAATGCTGAAGTCCCGAAAGTAAAAGCTTTTGTTTCCACAATGGCTAAAAGCGAATTTTCGCGTCGGATCGGGTAGGGCGCGTGAATCCGATCCGGTGAATCCGTATTTTCTTGTGAACCCGATCCGCGTTTTCGGGCTCACAAAACAGATGGTTGGTGCTCACCGGGGTCATCGTTGGGATCCAGACTGGACCCCGCAGAACACTGGGGGGAGTGCGTATATTTGCGCCTAATTTCTGAACGACAACAGATCCAACAGGCCATCATGTTTACCGAATTTCTCCTACAACGGTGAGCATCAAAAGATTGTTTACGAACCTCAAAATTCTACACTGTTGCCAATTCAGATATTATTTTCATATTTATCACTCGGGACATTGCGGACTTCCGCACCTTTAGATTTTGGCGGTAGGTAAATGTCATCCTAATTATCAGAAATGCGGAATATCAATATCAACTAGTAAAGTGCGACAAAAGATCGACCCGTTCCTTGATTCTGGCATTTAATTTCAATGCTAACCTGAAAACAGCTATTCTTCCATATAATCTTATTTGGCGTGGACCCTAGTCCCTACCTGTGTCCCTTGCACCTTATTCTCCTTTTTGGGTATAAATGAATCAGACCTCATCCCGCAGGTTTCCCCGCGAGCTCATGAAATATATATAGTGGGATGGTGTAATGAGCGAAAGTAAATAGGTACATATAAGTTTATAGTACCTTAGGGGCCATCCATAAATTACATACCGCACTTAGGGAGGGGGTGTAACGCAGCGAATCCCCCTTCTTGGCAAAGCAGGTCCGGGTCGTCAGAGGCACATACGTCCTCTGGAATAAGATATGCCAACGTTACTCACGGTGCCGGAATGAGCTCGCCGGGATCCTGGATTCGGCCGCCATAGAAAAAAATTAATGATAAAGAGTGTGAAATCGAAATTGAGAGAGAGAAAATCGAAACTCGAATTTCAACTCGAAGGGGAAAGGGAATTTAGCACAGTTCCGTCTGATGCTGCTCAGCTCGCGCACCACTACTTCACTACTTGCGTCAAAAGTTGAAAGCGTGTTTTCCAACTTACAAGTATTTACTTAATTTAAATGGAGATTTATCAATAATTTCCACACATATAATTCATTCTTAAAATTCTACAGGTATTCTGATCGAAACTCGAGGGGAAATGGTTCGAAAGGTATGAAAAATAAACTACATCTCTAAGAAGATTACCAACCAAATCTAAGGTCTACTACTTTTCTCAGGAGAACTCGCAGAGAGATGCAGCTCTACTCGCGCACCTCGCTCCGCGCTTTCCACCGAGGAAAGGCCTCTCTAGATCACGTTTGCAGGGGTAATGCTCCTCAGCTCGGGCACCACGTCCCACGCAACCGAAACCTAAGAGGTCCAAAGCTGGAGCAAATCTTCGGTAAAGCCTTATCCACCGTACCGCCTATTTGCTCCAACCGCAGACACAACAAGCCAGAATCGTTAAGTAAGAGGAGAAGTGCAGGCTCACCTCGCCGCGCACCTCGATCGACGTACTTGATTACTCGCTGGCCGTCTGCTGGATCGGAACAGCTGACACCGGGCACGGCCGGGACCCCACTGGTTTTCAAATTTCCAAAAAACCATTTTTTTCGATTATCTACAAACTTAAACTTAAAAACGGGGGAAAAAGTTCCCCGTTACAGGGGGGAAGGGGGGTCTCTAACAGCCCTACGAGGGGGAGGGGGTGTAGAACTGAGCCTTTCGTAAGTTTACCAGCGTATATTTAAAGAAAATTCAAAGCATTTGACATTCCAGAAATGCAATGCGGAAGAGTCATTTTTTGTCGAACTAAAAACCAACAGGACCCAGCGTTTCATTCGCATCCAACCGTAAACGTCCGTAGTACCAAGTTTCCGCCATTTTCCAGATGCAAAAGGATTGATAAGCATAAAACTACATCTACCCCGTTTAATCTAAGTTCATCCTGATTCAGTAACAATCATCCTTGCAGTAACAATTTAATGAATTTGATTTTAAATTGATGGTTTTTCGAATAAATTAAATGTGTTGAGTTTTATAAATTAAGATTAAAATAAAAAAAATCTAATCACACATACATTTTTTTGTTTACTGGATCAAGACCCGCTTAACGCTCTTAACCTCTCACCATAAAGTGTGCTGAACACTTATCAAGTGGATTGCCGATCTCTCCAATAAAAAAAAAAAAAAAAAAAAAAAAAAAAAAAAAAAAAAAAAAAAAAAAAANAAAAAAAAAAAAAAAAAAAGCAGCGTTGATGAGGCGTGTCATTAACTCGCACACATCAACCTCATTGGTTTCCATTTACAGAGATTTCAAAACAGGCAAGAAGCACAACAAGAGAATTTACGATTCAACACTGCGAGGTCAACGACGCACCTTAAGCACGACGCACCAGTTTAAGTTTTTTGATCTACCTCAAGCAAAATCTTATAAGATTCTTGAAGAAAAGTGCTACGGAATAATTTAAGCGAAAAAAAGGAAAAATTCTGTCGAGCTCCTGAAAGATAAAGTCGATTTAAAGGTATTTTGGGGCTCAAATACCCAAATCACCGGTAGTATAAATCCCGTTATATTATTAAAAGAAATTGACTCGATATAAATGTAATTGCATTAATTATGTCTTGATTTTGTTATTTTAAACGTCTCTCCATGCAAAGAAGTTCAACCAAGTCCATGCTTTATTCATTCATGAATTGAAAGTAAGTAATCTACATCCCGAAAATCTACCGATTTGCCGTAAAAAATCGCAGAATCTTGATATACCAGGTCGATGTACCCACTCGTTGAATTTACGAATCAATTTCATGAGTGCAAGTTTTCATGAGTGCAAATATGTAAAATGCAACCTGCTATGGTCATTTTGGGTGCATTTATTTTTCATGAAACAATAATACAAAGGCTGTGCCAAAAGTTTCGCATCGGTACACCGTATGAGCCAACAAAGAAGGCTAGCAAGATGCGTTTTGCGGGGTTCTTTAGACTAACTTATTAGCTACAAAACGAGCCCTTGTCGAGCTCATTTTGTCAAAAATTGACCAAGATACATCATTTCTTTCGGATACGTGTTCGGTAAACCCCTACTAGATTTTAGGACATTTTTCAGAGAGAAAAAAACAAACAAACAAAGTTCAAACATTAAGCAAACGGTTGATAGTGCGTATTATATCAATGTGTTGAATACTCTTCGGGCCCATATTCGTAGAAAACGCCCCGATATGAAGGAAACGTGGATCCTTCACCAGGACAACGCTCGTCCACACACGTCCATTCTCACGCGCGAATTTATGGAGTCAAAAGACATGGTGATCCTCCTGCAGCCCCCCCTCCCCCCCCATTACAGCTTGGATCTCGCGCCTTGCGATTTCTGGCTTTTTCCAGAACTAAAAAACGCTTTACGAGGTACAAGGCTCAATTCAGTTGCTGGCATTAAAGCCGCAGCTCAAGCTTTTTTAGGAACTCTCACTCCCGAGGATTTCGTAAAAACAATTTTGGTCAAATAGGAAGAACGCTTAAGTCTGTGCGTCAAAGCTGGAGGAAAGTACTTTGAAAAAGAAAGAAGAAGCTTAGAATTGTCAGATAAGGAGCCATAAAGTATGTACATTAGAAATACTTATTTTGTTCATTTCTTATAATACACGCATCTAATTTTTATACTTTGTTGGTTTGTTTGTTTACCTACCCCTGAAAAAATTCCTAAAATCTGGTAGGGGTCCACCCAACACGTATCCGAAAAAAACGATGTATCTTTGTCAATTTTTGACAAAATGAGCTTGACAAGAGCTCGTTTTGTAGCTAGTGAGTTGATCTAAAGAACCCCGCAAATTACAACTTGCTAGCTTTCTTTGTTGGCTTAAACGGTGGACCGATGCGAAACTTTTGAGACAGCCTTTGTAAGTAATTTCAATCCCGAAAAACCATCAATTTTTCGTATAAAATCGAAGAAATCAAAGTATGTCGACTCCCTGACGTGAAAATTACATTCTACGTGTAGAAATACTTATGTATCGATATGCTGGAGAAACCATGTGAGGACACAGTCAGAAGTCTGCGGCAACATCAATTCAGCAGAAAAACGGCAAACATTAGATAGGATTTTAGCCGCTTTGCCCGCCTATCCTCACTACTTAGAAACCGTTCCTACACTCATCTCACAATTTTTCTCAGAGCTTTGGATTATTATTAGCTTCCATTTAAACCCCGGTTCGGCTGCCCAAAAAGCAAGCCGTTTTTGAAGGGTTCTAGGAGAAATTCGTGATATTATCGGCTCTCAGGGAATCACACCATGGCTAAAATTGGTGGTATAAATGTTTGAAGGCTCAAAATAATCGTATTCAAGAAACTAAGGCATTGAACTAAGGAGTCAATTTCTTCTTAATAATATAACGGAGTTTACTATCAGTGATTTAGCTATCATAGCCCCAGAATACTTTTAAGCGCATTTATTTTCAAGAATCTCGACGAATTTTTTTTTTTTTTTTTTTTTTTTTTTTTTTTGGGGGGGGGGGTAAACAACTCAAGAGACGCTGTAGTTAGAAAATATAAAGAATTTTCGATTAGAACATATAACAAATGTTTAACTCGTTCAGGCACACCGTGTATTGTATGGAGTACTGCTGCTATTCGACACCTTGTCTTCAGGTCAAAATTCTGACAGGGAAGTCCCTTACAAGAGACGAATTTTTTGTGATTTCTCCCAATTTTTTCTCCGTTATATAATTGAATTGCTTGTTAAATGCTAAGGTCAATTACAAATATATTAAATTGTAATTTATACATTTCATTTTTTCCCCTTCATTTTATTTTTTGTATGGAGAGGTCAAGGTTTTGTTTCTTTCTTCGAATTTCGAATACTGTAACTTCTCTTCTATTCGGCCGATTTTTATGAATGAGACCTCTTTTAATCCGTGTTTTAACGTAGAGTTAGGAAAACATTGCTAAGTACACGCGAAACAATTTTTTTCTTTAAGATTGGACGAATCCTAGCGTGACGGTGAAATGGTTAATCAAGCGTAAGTAATATGGTGAGGGTCCTGGCGCGGCGGTCGCCGGGCTATTGTTCATCTCGAGACGCTGACGCATTGGTCAGGCGCGTGGGGAAGAGAGGGGTAATACTCCTCCTCCTCCCTCCCTCTCATGTTTCTGGCTATTTTTCAGTTTATTTTTCCATGGGATGCCAGGATGCTAATCTTCCCTACCACCATGTTTTCCTCAGAGTATGGAATATCCCCCCTTTCAGAGGTGGTGCCGTGCTTCTTCGCCGAAACAATACATTTTTAAACATTTGAAATTATATTTTTCCGCTTTTTAAGTATCATTGTTACTATTCTCATCCATGTGTTACTGTAATTCCCCCCCCCCCCCCCCNCCATACTCATGTTTCCGCCTATCTTTCATTATACAGGGTGTCTCACGAAAAAGGAGCCACCTTGAATATCTGCCGAACGCGTCGGAATTTTGAAAAACGGTAGAGGAAGTGTTCGTTTATATCGAGAGGGACACCTTTTGGCGTATTTAACATTTTCCTAAACCACGGGAGGGGCGCGGGGCGGGGGGTGCCCCACCCGTAAGTCGAACTTTTCAAATGGCACCCCTACTTTTTTATTTCAGAAATCAATTCTACGCAAAAAAAACAAGCCGCCCTACCCGAACCGATTGTAAATCAGAATTCAGTTATTTGCAGAGGTTGAAACATTTTTTTCATGCTCTATTTAAAAATTCCCCACGACCAATGGAATTGCCGTTGTTCAACCAGTTGGAACGTTATGCGGCAACGTCGAAATGAGCCGCCGGCACCGACGGCCAGCGCATATCTCTCCCCGCGCTGAACCGACTGAAATCCCGCGGTACCGCGTCGCGCCGGTAGATGCCGCGGGTATCGCCTTGATTATCCTGTTTTCTCCCGCTCCCGTTTTTCCCGGAGAAATCTTAAGAAGAATTTAATTTTATGTTCTCACCCTGATTAGGGTATGTAACTTTTGCCTTTGCTTTGCCCAGCTTTTTTATCATTTGTTTTCTAGTTGGTTTTTTCTGCTTTATTTTCACGTCTCTCATTAATTGGCATGGCTCTAACTAGGGTCCCCTCTGGGTTCATGTCCAATTCGTAAGTATTCGATCTCTTGCCATAACTACTGGCTTCCAGTAGTCACTCACCTCTCGGCTCAAGCTCTCACTCTCCTGCTGGATTCCAGCAGCTAAGTAAGTATTTTCTCATTATAAGTTTTTCCTGCTGGTTCCCAGCAGTGTTTTATTTTCTCTTAAATAGGTTTTTTTTTTATTTTCGGTTTTCCTACTGGATTCCCAGTAGAGACTTTTCCCTCTGGTTTCCAGAGGTGCCGCGTTTTAGTTAGGTTTTCTTTGCTCTCATTAAAAGGTCACTTTAAAATTCGTATAATTTCATTTAGTTTCTTATTAAGGCTCTTCCAGCCATTCGTCAGTTAGTTTTCTTGGCCTTCCGCCTCTTATGTAAAACTTCTTTTCAATCAACTCATTCCTCTCTTAGTATTTTTTTTCGATCACGATCTCGCCTCAAAAAGTTAGGGAACCCAGACTCGTTCTGAAGCCGGCTCCGCGCAGCCTGGTATCCTTTAACACAAAAAATCATACAGTCCACACCTCTCAGTTATTTTTTTTTTCGATCTTTTATTTATTTTATTATTATTAATGGTTTGTCCTGCCCGACAGCCGTATCAAACCAAACTCTCCGTCAAAAAAATTCTTAAACATTCCACATTCGATTTAAAAAAAAAAAAAAAAAAAAAAAAATCATCTGCTGCACTCGAAATCTGGAGCACGCGGAGCCTTTCTTTGTGACATTAAAATTCGTTTTAACCTAACATTTCCGGGGGGCGCTCATCGGGAGGGAGGAGTAAGTTTTAGACAAGAATTATTATTCTTTTTTCTGGAGCATAACAAACCGTGTCCATGAAGAAACAGCTAAGTTGAAAAAGAACGCACCGCGGAAAAATAGCGTCCTCAGAAAGTATCAAGGTCCGGCTCAAGTCATTGACCCCCCCCCCCCCCCCCCCAAAAAATGTAATCCATTTTTTTTACTTAGCTGCTTCTTCACGAACACGGTTTCTTATGCCTTAGAAAAAAGAATAATAATTCTTGTCTAAAACTTACTCCCTCCCGATGAGCGCCCCTCGGAAATGTTCGGTAAAACGAATTTTAATGTCGCAAAAAAGGGCTCCGCGTGCTCCAGATTTCGAGTGCAGCAGATTTATTTTTTTATTTTTTTTTTTATCGAAAGTGGAATGTTTAAGAATTTTTTTGACGGAGAGTTTGGTTTGATACCTACGGCAATTCCATTAGGCGTGGGGAATTTTTGAATAGAGCATGAAACAAATGTTTCAACCTCTGCAAATAACTGAAAAATTGTCTGATTTACAATCGGTTTGGACAGGGCGGCTTGTTTTTTGGCGTAGAATTGATTTCTGAAAAAAAAGTAGGGGTGCCATTTGAAAAGTTCGACTTACGGGTGGGGCACCCCCCGCCCCGCGCCCCTCCCGTGGTTTGGGAAAATGTTAAATACGCCAAAAGGTATCCCCCTCGATATAAACGAACACGCCTTTAACCGTTTTTCAAAATTCCGCCGCGTTCGGCAGATATTCAAGGTGGCTCCTTTTTCGTGAGACACCCTCTATTTATGATTTTACAAGACCACTTTTCACCTTTTCAAAAGAGGATTTAACTTCATCCATCTTGATAATGTCGTAATGAGGCTGATGAAATTAGATATTTCTGAATAAATCGAGATAAATCATCATAACACTTGCATAGTCATGGTAATTTAATAAACTGCATAAACCCCACAAAACTTTCAGCTTAAAGGGGTAAAGAATCCGGCCAAAGTCATAAACTTACTGAGCCAAATTGTCTTGTTAGGTACTTCTAAAAGGATATGAAGAATTATACAGGGTGTTCGAAAAGTCCCCTCCCCCCCCTCTAACTTTTGACCTAATTGAGGTAGAGGCTTGAAACTTGGTGGGTGTTCTTACATCAAAGGGAGCTACTTTTTGACCCCCTCAAAATTTTGGGGGGCCCCCCCTTGGGGGGGTTACGGACCCTAACTTTTTTTTTCAAATGGGAAGACCCCCTTTGTGATACCTCGTTCGAAAGAGCATAGAAAAAGAAAAATTTTCGCGCAAACCCGAAGTCATTAGGTATCTCAAACCGTTCCAAAATGGCGGCCGGTCAAAGTTCAAAATGGCCGAAAATTGGCACCTCTGCTACTTGCGCATGGATTTGCTTGAAACTCGGTATCTGGGGGTATTTTGGCACGAGAAAAACGAATTTGACGTTAGATTTTTAAAAAAAACCCTAATTTTTCAAAATGGCCGCCGGTTTAGGCTCGAAATTTTGACAAACTCGATTTTTTGCCGATGGATTCACCTGAAATTCGGTATCTGGGGGTATTTTGACCCGAGAAGAACGAATTCGACGTTAGATTTTTAAACAAACCCTCATTTTTCAAAATGGCCACCGATTAAAGTTCAAAATTGGCAACAATTGGCAACCTCGACTTTTTGCCGATGGATTCGCCTGGAACTCGATGTTTGGGGGTATCTGGGTGGGAGAAAAACGATAAGCTGAGAATCCAGAAGCTGAAGCTTGAAATTTAACAGGAATCCATCGGCAAAAAGTCGAGGTTGCCAATTGTTGACAATTTTGAACTTTAATCGGCGGCCATTTTGAAAAATGAGGGTTTGTTTAAAAATCTAACGTCGAATCCGTTCTTCTCGGGTCGAAATACCCCCTGATACCGAATTTCAGGTGAATCCATCGGCAAAAAATCTAGTTTGTCAAAATTTCGAGCCTAAACCGGCGGCCATTTTGAAAAATTAGGGTTTTTTTTAAAAATCTAACGTCAAATTCGTTTTTCTTGTGCCAAAATACCCCCAGATACCGAGTTTCAAGCAAATCCATGCGCAAATAGCAGAGATGCCAATTTTCGGCCATTTTGAACTTTGACCGGCCGCCATTTTGGAACGGTTTGAGATAATGACTTCGGGTTTGCGCTAAAATTTTCCTTTTTTTATGCTCTTTCGAACGAGGTATCACAGAGGGGATCTTCCCATTTGAAAAAAAAAGTTAGGGTCCGTAACCCCCCCAAAATTTTGAGGGGGTCAAAAAGTAGCTCCCTTTGATCTAAGAACACCCTCCAAGTTTCAAATCTCTACCTCAATTAGGTCAAAAGTTAGAGGGGACTTTTCGAACACCCTGTACTTCACTGTAAATCGAATGTAGGCCCCTTCATTTATGAGTGATGCAACAGTCATGACGTGTAAGTATGTTTAGCCCTTGCAGGAGCCCCCTTCCTTACCTATTTGCATTTTTATCAAAAGTAAAAAAAATAATCGGTATGGATTGATCGAAGCCTTCTATGTGCTCCAAAATAATATGAATCAAATATTTTATCGCACAAAGTCCAATATTAGTCGATTCAGGTCCTACAAATGCTTTTGAAAGAGCATGAAAAAAAAAACTCAATCGGCTGGCTAAAGTCCAGTATTTTTCTTGAGAATAGTCTCCTCCTTCAATGAGTGATGCAACAATTGCGACATTTGTGTGTGAAAAGCCCTTGCAGAAGCCTTTTTATTTCACTCAGCTAAATTTTCCTAGGAGGTGTATTTGGCGACGATGCTGCCTCCCACCCAGCAAGAGTTTTATCATCAAACTTAAAAATGACAGAGTACGCTATATTTGAATCTCAACTCAAAGTTTCCACTTCTAAAGTATTTAAGAACTGAATTGATTGGTTTACTCTGTTGATCCGAGAGATTTATATTTATGGTAAAACTTAAGATTAAAATAAAAATAAGTTCAAGACAAACCACGATGCTATTTATTTTATGTATAATTAAATTACTTACATGCCAAAGCTTTTCGATACCCCAGGTCCCATCATCAGGGCTTACATAAGCAACACATGCAAAACTACAAAGAAACTACAAAGCAACTAAATAAGCAAAGTGAGGAACTACATGGTAAAGGCAATTACACAGCAATTTCGAGATTAAATATAAATTAAATAAAATAAACCATTCATATAATAAAAGTTAAAATCATTGATAAGACAAGTGATGAGTAAACAAGTCAATATATACATAAAATGAATAGCATCGTGGTTTGTCTTGAACTTATTTTTATTTTAATTTTAAGTTTTACCATAAATATAAATATTTCAGATGCTACTTGTCCAAAAATGTTTGTTTGATCCGAGAGAGTTGATGAGAATCCAAATAACCCTATTGAGCATTTTGATTGAATACAGTAACGTACGGAACAACGTCTGCACCCTTCTTGGCAATAAGAACATTTAAAGAAACAGCATTACAGTACGTGGACATACTACCGGAAGCATCTGAAAGTATCTTAAAATCGTTTCATGTGGATGAACAGAAAGTTGGGGTCCATTACCTCCCGATCAGGCCCCCTCGAAAATTTTAGGGGGGCTAAAAAGTAGCTCCCGTTGACCTAGGAAAATCCCCCAAGTTTTAAATATTTACCTTAATTAGGAAAAAAGTCAGAGGAGGTGAATGGGTTTTTTAAATCACCCTGTATTTAGAGAAAAAAGTGAGGAATCGCATGCTTAAAAAAAAAAAAGAATCAAGTAATAAAAAAAAGAGAAGAATAATATAGCCACTCAGGGAGTGACTAATTTATCCTTTAGTCAACTTTTTTTCTAACTTCAAAATACCTAACGAATCCTATTGGATGTGTTTGAAGACCCAGTCTAACTATGGTAAAGGAAGACTTCCTGCAGGGTCTCAGGATGTGAAAATGGTGTTGGTCTCCTACATTCTACCCTCTTTTTCTTCAAAACAACCACCACAAATATTCCTAAAATCCTACTCCGAAAATATTATACTAAATGTCTCTAGATGGCTGTAGGCACCTCTACTGGAGTAAAAGCCACTAAAATAACAAAAAGAAGAGGAAGAAGAGGAGGAAGAAGAAAGCGGTTGGGTATTATAAAATTTACATGGACCATTTGTTCAAATATTTATTCACAATTCAATAAAACGTTGTTTTAAAATTATATTTTCTATACATATCTATAAAAAATAATGTTTTTGTGTTCGATTCAGTTTTCTCAGGTAAACAAATTGTTAACCCATCAGATTTCCCTGGTAACAAGTGAAAAAATTATGACCACTTTTTTCAACTGAGTTGCTAAAAATTGAATTTTTTGAAAAAATAAAAAAGTTTTGCTTTGCACTACTACTTTTCTTTTAATTTTTTTTTCTTTTTTGGGGGGGGGGGGCAATTTGTGGACAACGAAGCTGCTGACTGTTGTTTTAAATACTCGACCACCATGCTCTCCTGAGATCTGATGTGCATTACTTAAATTTTGAGACAAAGAAGGTGTTTTTAAAAAAGAACAGATTTGGAGCACAGAAAAATAACATCGCAGTGCTGCGCCTAGCAAATTTCCGCCCAATTCTTCAACACAAAAATATTTCGAGATAACAAGTTGAATAATCACGATAAAGAGATTTTCAAGGGCTTTGATAAATGGAGGCACTTCCCATAGGTCACTGCTTAGGACTCAGCAGCAACATATTCGTAGTAAGAGACACACAATAAACACTAAGGCTACACTGGCCACTGCCAAGAGCGGTTAAAAAAGTGAGAACATAGTCCCATGAGTTTTATGGTGTGAATCTATCTTCCCATAACAAGAGTCATGGCACGGTAGGTAGAGTGTTGGGCATGTAAATGGAGTGTTCCTGGTTCAAAATGTCCCAGGAAGGCATGAATTTGCTGGTTAAAATTTGCTCCAAACAAGTAGTGTTAATGTCAGGGGTATAATATGGATCATTTTTCATTAAAATGTATAAATAAAGTAATGCCCCAACTACCCGATGCTGCAGTAATTTAACGAACGGGAGACTAGGAGAATGCACCAAATCTCATTAAATTGGTATGCACCCAAAATTTGATTAACTGAACTCATCTTTGACATTAAAAAACTCAAAATCTAAGTTAAAACTGGGGTTTCAGGGGGATCCACAAAATACAATGTTTTGACTTTTTTAGAGCCTGAGGCACTCACACTCCTCCTACCTAAAAATCCAGTTTTTAGCCTATCAAACTGTGGGTACTGTGGGGATTTTGTGCAAAACCATTGCCAAAATGCAGGATAAATGGTTTATTTCCCAGAACTTGGGGAGGGGGAGCGGGCTGTAGCCCGCCTAAAACGCACTTTTGGAAAAAATTTCATAAAGGAAAAAAAGTCTCATTATAACCCTAAGAACCGGCTCCTGCAGTTTGGCAGTTTAGCTTTGAATCATCCTGAATTTTTCCTTTTTTTCAAGGAAACTTATCCTTGTTTTAAGCAAACATATTCTTGTTCCAAGAAAACTTGGAGTACTCAATAATTAAGAACACACATCTACTACATTGAAGAAAACTCAGTTTTTTTAATCTTAGGACATGTTTCTTGTCAACACTTCAAAAATAGTCTTCTTAGTTTAAGGTGGCGCTGCCTTGAATTTACGAGACTTTTCTTTGAGCGAATTTTCTTCAGAATATCCGATGCTCTTTGTAGTCATTTTGGATCTAATGCTAAGTTTGAGACTTCAACACTAGGAATCTATAAATTTTAATATCACTAGTGAAAGGATTTCATTACCAGAAAAAACAAATGACCATGCTTTTACATACTTTCAAAACTATACATTTTCCTGGAGGAAAACAAATTTGACTGCTCTCAAAACTGATTGAAGAATAGCTCTAAATTTTCCCGGAGTATTTGAAGCTTTTTTCAAAATCTTGCTCTATTTTCTTGAAGAGTTCTATTGAAGAGTAAGGCAAGTTGGTATTCAAAAAGTTGATAGAATTTTTATCACACATTCGAATCAATGTGAATGTCGAATTCATCAGATGAGCCTGGAGAAATAAAATAAAAAAAAAGAAACAAACGATTATTAAAACTTCTTACATATAATACTTCAAATAATGTACCCCCACCCCCTCCCCGCCTTTCAAATTTATCCGCCATCATGGATTTGGGGCACCTCATTTGACCTGGGGGCTTTTACGGCTTCTTATATGAAACCTACAACCATGACACCATAAGAAATTATATGCCTCACACGACAATAAATGTACATCTTAAATTACTTGAATCCTAGATGGCCCTAATGTAGCCACTGTTTTGAATTTCAGGCATTTTGAGAGGTTTCGTAGGGTAGGACCATGGTCAATTTTTAGAATGTTGTTTGGAATGACCTATTGATGGTGTTTACACCCGCCCGGCAAGTGGTTGCCTGAAGTAGTTGCGGAAATGTTGTCACAATGTAACTGTCAAAAATAATGTTGCGGCAACGTTGCAGCAACGTTGTGGCAATGTTATTTTTGTCCGTTGCCGGACGGGCATATACATGGAGACCTCGAATTATCGGATCGCGATTTAACGGATTCCGCGATTTAACGGATTCCGCGATTCAACGGACTCGACCTCCGGTCCCGTGAAATCCGATAAATCGAGGTCTTACCGTGAGAAGGGTATTATGTAATTCGTCCGGGTTGACCCTGAAACATTTATATTTCGTATTTCTTTCCGACTAAAAGTTCTTAAAATAACCCTGTAAATTAAGGTCCGCGAAAAGGACGACGGTTCAACCTTATGGGAAAAGTGAGCTCGGTTACATCGGCTGATTTCTTGATATGTTGCAGGTCTTAACCTACCGATTAAAAGTGTCAATGGGCGTTTCTTCCTATCTCAAAGTTTTAGCCCCCATTTTGGGGGTCAAAGTTGCCAATTCAACGTATAATGGTAGTTTTGACACCCGGGTTCATTGGTCGCCTTTAAGATTCTTTAATGGTTTGTTGAGTCTATTCAATCTTCTGAATAGACTAGAGACTATCCGATCTCAAAAACTGAACAACTTTGCCTTATGGGGAAGGGGGGGGGGGTGTTTACGCCACCGATTTCAGCATCGGCGAATCGCATTAAACCGATTCTTTCGGCATGTTTAAGAGATTTTTTCATGCAGATTTCGACAGCATCCTGGAAGGTTGACTGAGATGTAGCTCAACATATACCCCTGGTGGAGGGGGGAGGGGGGGTGTAACGGGGCTAATTTCCCCCGTCTCAACGCAGAATGCAAAGACAGGTTTCTGAGGCCTCACGGGAGGAAATCTCGGGAAAAAAGATCCGCCGTCGTTACTTCACGGTGCCGGATAAACTGCGGTAGGATGCCTAGATTCGGGCGCCATAAAAAAAAACCGGCGCGGAGCGAAGCGGAGCGCCGGTTTTTGCGGGGGCTTGGCCCCCCCAAAACGCGCGCGCCGCGCGCGTCTTATCAGGGTCGTCTGCACATCTAGTTTTCCTTCTTCTTAAGTGTCCCGCGCATCCACCGCGGGAAGGAAGTGTATTTCCCGAAGTGGGATTTTTGTAGTCATAAAATCGTACGTCTGTAAGTCATTGTGTAATCGATAGATTTTTTCCAGATATTTCCTTTCCTTGGGCCGCTGTGCCACGAACAGTTCTTCCAAAAACTTTCTTCGCCCTGTGCGACGCGCAGTTTGTCCAAAATCTTCCTTCCCCGGAACTACTGAGCGACGAGAAGCTTGTTCAAAAACTTCTTCCCCCTGACCCACTGTGCGACGAAAATTATGTCCAAAAACTTCCTCCCCCTGACCCACTGTGCGACGAAAATTTTATCCAAAAACTTCCAGCCCCTGACCCACTGTGCGACGAAAATTTTGTCCAAAAACTTCTTCCCCCTGACCCGCTGTGCGACTATCAGCTTGTCCAAAAACTTTCTCCCCCGACCCACTGTGCGGCCCTGCTCCGGCCGGCTCCCCTCATGCCGCGCACCCCTCGCCTAAAACTTTCAAACCTCGCCATTTTTAAACGGATCGGCCGATTTAGCTCAAATTCAATACCAAACCAGTCCTAAGGGAGAACTACCACCCGTAAAAATTTCAGCTCAAAATATTCATTTTCGCTCGAGTTGTCGGGTGGACAAGATTTGACCTCCCCCCACTTTCGAGCCCCACCCCTCAAAATCTATTGCCTAAAATTTCAATTTTTTTTCGCAGGATAGTAGTTCTAATAGGTCTCTACTAAATGCAAAAAAATTGGTCAAAATATCTTTCAACGTAAGAAAGATATAACTGCTCAAACATCGAAAAATCTTAAAAAGGCGGAAATACATACATACATACATACATATATACATACATACATACATACAGGGTGTAACAAAAGTCCGTCCCACCCCTGCTAACTTTTGAACGAATTGAGCTAGGGTAATGAAACTTTGGGAATGTTCCTATCTCAAAGGGGACCATCTTTTGGGGAGGTCAAAATTTTGGTCCCCCCTCAGGGGCGGCGCGGGGGGCCCCCAACTTTTTTTTTTCAAATGGCAACCCCTATCTTGTGATACCTCATTCGAAAGAGCATAAAAAACTAAGAATTTTGGCGCAAACCGCAGATCAATATCT